TTCAGCGTATAGCTAGAACCAATCAATTTTTCTACTGTATTAACCCACTTTTGTTTCATACCTTTTCCTATTTTTCGTCAACTATAACCCAAAGCGCCGTTCCTCGTCTTATATATCATTCCTCTGTTTCTGTTCATATTTGATGTTTGTACCAGCTCATTATCCGTTTTGATCTGACCACATGGTTGTTTATTAACTTTCAAATTCATTACAGATCATTTTAACAATGCTTACTGGTGCTGCAGCTTTCAGAGGTTTAAAGTCATTTTCGACCATGAACGAGTCACAAAGACCATCTATATCAGAAAATGGTCGTACGGAATTGCGTGAGTAAAAAAGAAACCATACTAAAAGCAGTAAAAATTTTCATAAAACCGTAATACATTTTTTCAAAAGAGATTCTGGTTTAATGAAGATGTAATTTCAAAGTTGTTTCGGGCGTTTATTCCAAGCAATTGTGTTTAATTTGTTTCATTAAAAGAGTTTCGTTTATTAAAATGCTTTATTTCAATTTAATAACTAGTATCCCAGTGGAAGTAGTTATATTTCATGGGTTTGTAATCTCAAAAATTATTCTAAATTGGAATATATATGGTTAACTTTAGAGAATGGATTAATTAAAATCCATTTTTTTATTTGTAAAAAAAAATTACCAACATCCATTTCCAGACACGTAAAATATGCAGCAGGATTTATACGACCTAAAAAAGGTTGATGAGACAAGACACAATCCGCATAACTGGAGACACAAAGAAACCAGAGTTTGCAGTTGTGCAAACATATATAATGGTTGTGGCTTTTGCTTTAGCGTGGAGTAAGTATATATGTGAAATTAAATAGACCACTTAAAAATTGAAATGTCTGGAAAGACCACCGTATATTATTGATCGCCAATTTGCGAAAATATTTGCAAATATTATTTGGGCAGAAAGTCGTTGTTAAATATCCGGGTGTTTTGAAAAGGTCATTATCATTCTTTCTAAAAACGAATAATCTAATTCACATAAATATTCAAGATTTTTCGACTAAATAAATGCGATTTATTAAAAAAAATAGTAAGTTTTGTGAAATTGTTTCGTTATCAAATTCATGTTTCTGAGTAATATAAAAAGACAGAAACGGTGTAGCTTCCAAGTATATAAAAATCTGTTATTCTTTCGCATGTTTTTGTATCTAATTTTCAACACACTTTGGCTGGATACATCTGAAATTTACCCTGGTATTTAAATTGATTACTTGGAATTCAACAATATGTATCTGATTTGTGTGAACACATTTGTAAAATGTCGGTCTCATGTTTAATAAGGTCTAGCAAGGGTTAATGACTATCATTTATAGCATGTAGCTTAACATGGATTGTTTACAACGATATTTTCAGGTTTATTTTTTGTTATCTTCTTCATTTCAATATAACAACGAACCCAAAAACGAGAGAGCAACTTCTGTTGTATATATGGTTTCATTTTACTCCGTTGTCGAACAGGTAAATATTGTTGATGTAAATGTAATCAAAGCAGCAAAACGTAGATCCTATATACTAATGACATGATTGGCCCTACATCGATTATGCGAGTTTAAATTTGACAAAATTATTGAACAGTAACTGTAGTTTTACAATACATATTAAATGTGAAATAAGCATTCAACAACTACGTGAATAGGCTTTTGTAACTAGAGATATATAACAGAATATTTCTTTTCACTAATATTACTCTCAGCGTACGTTGGATGAACGTTCGTTCTCTTTTGTGTTGTTTCAGTGTCGCCAACTGGTAATCTACAGTGTCCGAGACGACAGATTTCGCTCCGCTGTGGCGTCAACTTCCGCCATAAAAATATGTCCAGTTATCATAATTCATCTTATGGTTCCAAATGACAAAAAACATTCTTGCAAAGTATTTGCATTTTATCAAGCAAAGTTCAACGGCATTCGTATTGGATTATACTTGGAACGATTCTTATGGTAACAAGAAATCAGTCCTTTCAATTGTTGGTGATTGAAGTTTGTTATAACCCCAACAACTCTGAACAGTTTCCAATTGTATATGCTTATTCCACTAATATATAATATATTCCAAACTAAAATTTATTTGCATTTTTGTCGTGTGTGAAATTAAGTAAATCTTAATTTTGTCTAATTTAATCAAAAATAGCAACTGTATTTATTTGAAGATCCTTTTCTTTATGTATGTACAAATGATAATCTCAATGGTATGGGGATATTTTCTCAACTTTCTAAATCATTACGATACTGTATTAAAAAAAAGTAATTTATTAGCCATCAAAAGAAAATAAACGACAGTATGTTAGAAACGTGTAAAATGGATTTGAACAGTACCTTGAACATTGGTCATTTGTAACTGCGATATGCTACATATAATTATCGAGGTAGTTTCAACATAAAAATAAGCAAATAAAAAATTTAAATGAGGTCTTCGTCGTGACTTGATGCTTGGTGTGTACGAGATATAAATTCGTTCGTGATATGGGGTGTTGTTTTACCTTCGAGCTGGTATATTGTTGCTATAGCAAATAGATTATATAACATATAAAGCGGAACCTGAGATGCGATTCTAATTTTATTCTGATCCTAAAATGACAAGCAGCAACAAATCTTTTATCACATTACTATGCAATAATTCATTCGGTTATTGAGAAGGGATAAATATCACTAAAGTTACTTTTGACTTAAGCATATTAATTTAATCCAATTGGCTTATCCAGCTCAAACCCATTAGAAAAAAGGTGATGCTATGCGAGATCTCCATTTGTTCGTTGGCCAATAACAGTTTCCAATTTGGAGACATGATCGACAGTGATACACGTAACGCGTTCCTTACATCCAGCCTACTTCGATATTTGTTTTTGTAGTTGTCAATATTCAAAAAACCCGGTCTAAAAAAAACGATGTTGTGAAAGTAACGATGCCTGTACAGCTACTGTATCTATACATGGGTATTGCTTGATGTTGTGTTTGTCTGGTTTGCTGTTGGGGTGATGTTTTTAGTCGTAGGGTTAGTGGTTAGATTGTATAGGTGTTATTTAGCTCCAGTCCGTTTTTGTATCACCTCACTGCGGACCGGTAGTAATCTTTCGGCGGACCGGCAATGGCCGCGGACGGTGGTTGCCGACCACTGCATTAGTCTATTCTGTTTAAATGAACGACTAACTGCTGTCACAATACGGTCATTGGACCATTTCCTGATTGTTCAATTAATAGAAGTTGAGATACAAATTAGGTAGTACCATCGAAAATATTTCGGTGCAGTGATCAGTGAGTATGGCCGTATTCGTGGATATTGGTACCACTTCCCCTGAATCGATTCGGGATAATCTAATGAGCAAACTCTGTTCAATATAACAATGGATAAATATTCTATGAAATGCATGTTCGAATTTCATGTAGGAACATAAATCTAAGTCCCGACGAATTTACAGCATACTAAAGTTAGTGAATAGATAATGCTAAGTATTCCATATTGACAACAATTTTCTGCAGATTAGCGTTTTTCGATCGCTTTTCATTATTTAAAGCAAAAAATATATAGGTTCATCCAAACAACACAAAGCGATTAGATAACTAGGAAAACGTGATAGAGATTTGTAGACGCCAAGCAATATTAAACTTTCCATTCCTCTTCGCATATTCAAGGCCTTATTTTTGCAAGTTGGATCATATAGGATATACCAGACAGACAAAACATGATGTTAATCTATACTTTCTGATTTAAATTCGAAAAAAATACTAAATTATCCATCCCTATGAGTAGATTTTCCAAAAGCGAATTTTGCAAACCAATCGAAATAGCTTGAAAATTTTTGCAAAACTCCGGGTACGAATGAGGCGACGTCATGTTTTTTTTTGGTTCTTTTATTATTATGTATCATTTTGTATTGTTGACAAACTTGGTACTAGATTGTTGTCAGTCAACGCTGGGGTTATATTCCGCAAACCAGACCAATCAACAAACAATCTATGTGTAGTGGTATCAATCAGTATAGTCGAACCAAATTAATATTAAATAACTTGCAGCCTTCAAATCACAGAGGGTTACAAATTATAGCACGCCGAATTTGTCTGCTATTCGAGGCTTGAAATATCACAAGTGGAACATGAAATCATTCTTTAATGAAATACAATCAAAATAAATAATAATTACTATCACTGTTAAAACAATTACAAAGGCAGACTTATTCTCATAAAAATATCCTTAAAGTAGGCTTGTACGGAACAAACCCCAATCAACATTATTTAATCGTACCTAGCGCGCAACAATACAATACAATCCTAAGACACGATCACACAACCGCTTGAAATAAGTTTAAAACAGTATTCCCATGAGTAAATGTTAGAACAGCGAAATTTAGACTGAAATATAAGATCTCATAGGATTCATAGAAAATTTAGGGATAAATAAAAGTAATAGCCTTCCCGGAAAAAAACAATCAACTTTTTAACCACTGAAACTTTCGAAGCAATTGGTCCAGTATTCGAAGAGAAAAGGCGATTTTTTTTAATAATGATGGTGACGAAGAAAAATACCAACAACATAATATTGAAACGGTCGTTTATGTCCACTGAAGTGTCCAAAAACGCTGAATGTCCGCTTAGTAGGTTCACTTAATAACGAGGCCATGTCTGACGAGTATGATATAAATATTGAATAATTATAGTTACGAAACACAGGTCTATAGTCAAACATACTACGATCTGCGCCTGACTTGTCAAATAAATAGGGAACCTTACCTGACACTTTTAGGATTAAATGTTTTTTATCACCACCCAGACAATATAAGAAGAACATTAGTCGTACTTTGTGCTTAAATTAGCAAACCCAAATTGCAACTTAGACAAGTCTCATTTATTACGCAAATCCTCTTATATTTAGAGGTCACAGAGATCATTATGTATTACCATATGAACAATATTTTATGGGATTGTTCGCAAGTGTTTCATCATCGTTACATACATCCGCACTAATTGGCGTGCAAGACTGAAATTCTCTTGATTTGCAAATACAATTACATTTAGTTGGTGAATTGTTAAAGGAATGACAGCTCAAAAATAAGGGGTGGAAGGCTGTTCGAAATTTTAGGGTAGTAGGAAAATCAATGTTTCATGAAGTTTTCAAACTCATAGTAAGTTGATACAAAACAAAATAGTTAATGTAACCTTCATCACAGATAAGATAAGTCTTGGGCGGAAATGAGAAAACTCTACAAAATTTCTGCCATCTTTACCAATGAACGAACTCTACTGATACCATACTCCGACCCTTAATCTGTATTTCACTGTCTTTTTTAATATATATGTAACGTTCCCTGCTTTTCTGCATTTATTCCTCCTCTATGAGCACTCGACTTTTTTTTTAATATATTCTGTACAGGGTTCATTGCTACATCTAATGTTTCTCAGTGCTGATAGATTTGTTGCAATCAGGTGGCCAATGTGGCATCGGCACCGTCAAACATCAACAGTATTATGGACGTTGCTGGGTATATGGCTTGTCACTATTCTTGGGTCCGCAGTCACAGGTAAGTCAATACATGTCCGTCTGTGTTCATTATTATGTCAATGGTAGATATATTTCGTTAAAGTATCATTTCATTTTATTTGTGAAGAAATATTCATATTTCAGGAGCAATACCACAATATTTCAACTACATGTACAATCCCCAAGTATTTATGTTCACATTGGGATATGCGGGTTCAAATGTGGAATCACGGGCTCATGGACTTTTGCATTTTGGATTAGCACTTTTCTTGCCATACGTTGTCACGGTGAGTTGTATTACATATTTCTGGATCAGGAGGCATCCAATTATATACATTCGATGAGACATTCAGCGTATAGCTAGAACCAATCAATTTTTCTACTGTATTAACCCACTTTTGTTTCATACCTTTTCATATTTTTCGTCAACTATAACCCAGAGCGCCGTTCCTCGTCTCATATATCATTCCTCTGTTTCTGTTCATATTTGATGTTTGTACCAGCTCATTATCCGTTTTGATCTGACCACATGGTTGTTTATTAACTTTCAAATTCATTACAGATCATTTTAACAATGCTTACTGGTGCTGCAGCTTTCAGGGGTTTAAAGTCATTTTCGACCATGAACGAGTCACAAAGACCATCTATATCAGAAAATGGTCGTACGGAATTGCCGTGAGTAAGAAAGAAAACCATACTGAAAGCAGTAAAAATTTTCATAAAACCGTAATACATTTTTTCAAAAGAGATTCTGGTTTAATGAAGATGTAATTTCAAAGTTGTTTCGGGCGTTTATTCCAAGCAATTGTGTTTAATTTGTTTCATTAAAAGAGTTTCGTTTATTAAAATGCTTTATTTCAATTTAATAACTAGTATCCCAGTGGAAGTAGTTATATTTCATGGGTTTGTAATCTCAAAAATTATTCTAAATTGGAATATATATGGTTAACTTTAGAGAATGGATTAATTAAAATCCATTTTTTTATTTGTAAAAAAAATTACCAACATCCATTTCCAGACACGTAAAATATGCAGCAGGATTTATACGACCTAAAAAAGGTTTGATGAGACAAGACACAATCCGCATAACTGGAGACACAAAGAAACCAGAGTTTGCAGTTGTGCAAACAATTATTATAATGGTTGTGGCTTTTGCTTTAGCGTGGAGTAAGTATATATGTGAAATTAAATAGACCACTTAAAAATTGAAATGTCTGGAAAGACCACCGTATATTATTGATCGCCAATTTTGCGAAAATATTTGCAAATATTATTTGGGCAGAAAGTCGTTGTTAAATATCCGGGTGTTTTGAAAAGGTCAGTTATCATTCTTTCTTAAAAACGAATAATCTAATTCACATAAATATTTCAAGATTTTTCGACTAAATAAATGCGATTTATTAAAAAAAATAGTAAGTTTTGTGAAATTGTTTCGTTATCAAATTCATGTTTCTGAGTAATATAAAAAGACAGAAACGGTGTAGCTTCCAAGTATATAAAAAATCTGTTATTCTTTCGCATGTTTTGTATCTAATTTTCAACACACTTTGGCTGGATACATCTGAAATTTACCCTGGTATTTAAATTGATTACTTGGAATTCAACAATATGTATCTGATTTGTGTGAACACATTTTGTAAAATGTCGGTCTCATGTTTAATAAGGTCTAGCAAGGGTTAATGACTATCATTTATAGCATGTAGCTTAACATGGATTGTTTACAACGATTATTTTTCAGGTTTATTTTTTGTTATCTTCTTCATTTCATATAACAACGAACCCAAAAACGAGAGAGCAACTTCTGTTGTATATATGGTTTCATTTTACTCCGGTTTGTCGAACAGGTAAATATTGTTGATGTAAATGTAATCAAAGCAGCAAACGTAGATCCTATATACTAATGACATGATTGGCCCTACATCGATTTATGCGGAGTTTAAATTTGACAAAATTATTGAACAGTAACTGTTAGTTTTACAATACATATTAAATGTGAAATAAGCATTCAACAACTACGTGAATAGGCTTTTGTAACTAGAGATATATAACAGAATATTTCTTTTCACTAATATTACTCTCAGCGTACGTTGGATGAACGTTCGTTCTCTTTTGTTGTTGTTTCAGTGTCGCCAACGTGGTAATCTACAGTGTCCGAGACGACAGATTTCGCTCCGCTGTGGCGTCAACTTTCCGCCATAAAAATATGTCCAGTTATCATAATTCATCTTATGGTTCCAAATGACAAAAAACATTCTTGCAAAGTATTTTGCATTTTATCAAGCAAAGTTCAACGGCATTTCGTATTGGATTATACTTGGAACGATTCTTATGGTAACAAGAAATCAGTCCTTTCAATTGTTGGTGATTGAAGTTTGTTATAACCCCAACAACTCTGAACAGTTTCCAAATTGTATATGCTTATTCCACTAATATATAAATATATTCCAAACTAAAATTTATTTGCATTTTTGTCGTGTGTGAAATTTAAGTAAATCTTATTTTGTCTAATTTAATCAAAATAGCACTGTATTTATTTGAAGATCCTTTTCTTTATGTATGTACAAATGATAATCTCAATGGTATGGGGATATTTTCTCAACTTTCTAAATCATTACGATACTGTATTAAAAAAAAGTAATTTATTAGCCATCAAAAGAAAAATAAACGACAGTATGTTAGAAACGTGTAAAATGGATTTGAACAGTACCTTGAACATTGGTCATTTGTAACTGCGATATGCTACATATATTATCGAGGTAGTTTCAACATAAAATAAGCAAATAAAAAATTTAAATGAGGTCTTCGTCGTGACTTGATGCTTGGTGTGTACGAGATATAAATTCGTTCGTGATATGGGTGTTGTTTTTACCTTCGAGCTGGTATATTGTTGCTATAGCAAATAGATTATATAACATATAAAGCGGAACCTGAGATGCGATTCTAATTTTATTCTGATCCTAAAATGACAAGCAGCAACAAATCTTTTATCACATTACTATGCAATAATTCATTCGGTTATTGAGAAGGGATAAATATCACTAAAGTTACTTTTGACTTAAGCATATTAATTTAATCCAATTGGCTTATCCAGCTCAAACCCATTAGAAAAAAGGTGATGCTATGCGAGATCTCCATTTGTTCGTTGGCCAATAACAGTTTCCAATTTGGAGACATGATCGAGAGTGATACACGTAACGCGTTCCTTACATCCAGCCTACTTCGATATTTTGTTTTTGTAGTTGTCAATATTCAAAAACCCGGTCTAAAAAAACGATGTTGTGAAAGTAACGATGCCTGTACAGCTACTGTATCTATACATGGGTATTGCTTGATGTTGTGTTTGTCTGGTTTGCTGTTGGGTGATGTTTTTTAGTCGTAGGGTTAGTGGTTAGATTGTATAGGTGTTATTTAGCTCCAGTCCGTTTTTGTATCACCTCACTGCGGACCGGTAGTAATCTTTCGGCGGACCGGCAATGGGCCGCGGACGGTGGTTGCCGACCACTGCATTGGTCTATTCTGTTTAAATGAACGACTAACTGCTGTCACAATACGGTCATTGGACCATTTCCTGATTGTTCAATTAATAGAAGTTGAGATACAAATTAGGTAGTACCATCGAAAATATTTCGGTGCAGTGATCAGTGAGTATGGCCGTATTCGTGGATATTGGTACCACTTCCCCTGAATCGATTCGGGATAATCTAATGAGCAAACTCTGTTCAATATAACAATGGATAAATATTCTATGAAATGCATGTTCGAATTTCATGTAGGAACATAAATCTAAGTCCCGACGAATTTACAGCATACTAAAGTTAGTGAATAGATAATGCTAAGTATTCCATATTGACAACAATTTTCTGCAGATTAGCGTTTTCGATCGCTTTCTCATTATTTAAAGCAAAAATATATAGGTTCATCCAAACAACACAAAGCGATTAGATAACTAGGAAAACGTGATAGAATTTGTAGACGCCAAGCAATATTAAACTTTCCATTCCTCTTCGCATATTCAAGGCCTTATTTTTGCAAGTTGGATCAATATAGGATAATACCAGACAGACAAAACATGATGTTAAATCTATACTTTCTGATTTAAATTCGAAAAAAATACTAAATTATCCATCCCTATGAGTAGATTTTCCAAAAGCGAATTTTGCAAACCAATCGAAATAGCTTGAAAATTTTTGCAAAACTCCGGGTACGAATGAGGCGACGTCATGTTTTTTTTTGGTTCTTTTATTATTATGTATCATTTTGTATTGTTGACAAACTTGGTACTAGATTGTTGTCAGTCAACGCTGGGGTTATATTCCGCAAACCAGACCAATCAACAAACAATCTATGTGTAGTGGTATCTAATCAGTATAGTCGAACCAAATTAATATTAAATAACTTGCAGCCTTCAAATCACAGAGGGTTACAAATTATAGCACGCCGAATTTGTCTGCTATTCGAGGCTTGAAATATCACAAGTGGAACATGAAATCATTCTTTAATGAAATACAATCAAAATAAAATAATAAACTATCACTGTTAAAACAATTACAAAGGCAGACTTATTCTCATAAAAATATCCTTAAAGTAGGCTTGTACGGAACAACCCCAATCAACATTATTTAATCGTACCTAGCGCGCAACAATACAATCCTAAGACCGCTAAACCAATTTCAACTTATTTATACAGAAACGAGCGCCACTCCCTACAAAAGTAAAGCGCTATCCTAAAGCAAAATACCGAAAATATTCCTGACTAAGCGAGACATGTCTGCAGTGGGTATTGCGGGTCGACCCCACCCCTTTAAAATGTAAAAAAAAATAAAATCTATTTTCTGTGTCATAGATAGCTATTTTTCGTAGCTTAAAATTCTTTTTAGACCCACAAGACTAATAAAAAAACGCGTATTCCAGCGTTCGATCGGACCCGCTAGCTGTTTCGATCTAACTTGGCAAATAAAAATTTCAGAACCCCCCCCAACCAGTCAGAGACCAAGAGCTGCATTTCTTACTTCATTACCGTGAAGAGTTTAAGTTTACAGATTGAAATGTTTTCCGTACCCATTATTGATGATTTCTTCGATTGCTTCTATCGGTTTCTCTCGTCTGATTTTTTTCTAGTGACCCTAGCACTGAAAACACTGCCATTATACCGGTACTAGAATTGTTGCATGTACGCCTCCTATCTTTTGTATGTAATGAGTGTTTTTTTTTCTTGTTGTTGCTGCAAACTTTTTTTTTAATTTTCAGTGTTTGACTTTTATTTTTGCCTGATAATTGTGTGACCTAACCACAGTTCTCCTTTTACCCTGTAATACCATTTTTACGTTTGTTTTTATTTTGTTTGTGCAAAGTGTATTTATATGACGGTGAAAAAAAATACTTATCACATTATAAACAATAACATACATGAACATCATATATAACTTTTTTCAGCTCTGCTAGAATGCTGGTTTATTGTAAATGTCATTAACCAACATGATTATAACAGAAATGCACCAAAAGAAAGATCGACAGTGTCACTGCGCCCTCAGTGTTAAAAATACAAAATATAGCAATAATAACACATGGCAGCATTTAACAGATAAAACAAGGGTTGTCACATTACCCCTCTCTTCTAGATGGAACATTATGAAAGAATGTTTTCATCTTCATTAGAAAAATTTGAACAACAAAAGAGGCAGTATTCGAAACAGAATATTTCACAAAGTCTTCAAAATATGCAGGGTGTCCCATGCATAACTAAATGAGTCGTCGATGACATAATCTGTGACGTTTGTAATTACTCTACCACCTTAAATGGTAAACTGCGAGTTTGCCGCCGAACTTCGTTTTCGATACGAATATGACAGCCGTTGTAGCGCAATACGCGTCCCATAACAAAAAATTTGATTATGACGTAATAATGATCGATTATGTGGTAAAGTAAATGAAGGCGTTCTTGTATCTTCGACGTAAAAAGAATCCACGATGAATCATATTAAGTTTGCAAGTTATTTTTTCCCTCAAAATAACCAAGGAGAAAAGTGCCGCATGAAACCGGAGAAAAGCCGCATGCGACTTGCGAGTTGGTCACCCCTGTTATAATCTTGCAACTCTTTTGCGTATACATGACCAAAAAGCTACTAAATAGGAGGATTTTTTCAAATTGAAATCGATTTTTTCTGGACGCTAAGAGCACAAAAGCGTATTGACTGTGCTGCAAGAATTTCGTGTCAAGATATATCCCACTCTTTTTTAGTCAATAGCTTAGCCTGCTAACACACTGTGCCTTTACATTCGAGTAATTTTGTTATCACAATATTTATTGATTAAAATTAGACTCAGAGCAAATAAGAATTGCGAGTATGTTTAATCACATCATTTCTAGTTGCTGGTTATCCATGATCTGAAGTATGCTACATCAGTGTAGACACCTGGTTTATTGGCCTGAGCGCATCCATAGCCCCACGAGGTAATTCCTGCAACGGTCGTAGTTCCTTGAATGTAGGCAGGTCCACCGGAGTCACCCTGCAACATTTAAAAAAAATTGATTTAAAAAATGATTCACTCTATATATATACAAACGTTTTGGCTGAACAAAATTAGTCGCTAAAACTTCCTCGGAAACAACTTCAGCTATCATTGATATTAGAAATACTGCACACTGGTTCAAATGGCAACGAAATATAAGACGTCACCCTATAGAATTCTGACTTATGAACTGTGAAAGTATTCGTCAGCTACCTGACAGGAGTCTTCTCCGCCAGCCATATTTCCCATACAGATCATTCCAGTTAAAACGTCACCATTGTATGATTCACTAGCATTGCAATCACTTGTAGAAATGACCGCCACATTCACATATTGTAAGTTGTTTGCAAGATTTTGAACTGCACAAAATAGCGATAAAGTTTCTTCAAATGATAGGGTATATGCATCAGCGATTGATTATAGGAGAAAAATGCGAGATTTACAACTCAAAACTAATTACTGATCATAACACTAGAAACTCACTGAAGCCAGAATTGGTATCTCCCCATCCAGCAACAGTAATGCCAGTTCCAGCAGAGGGTGAAGAAATTGCTAATGATGCTGTATTAATGGTTGAACTAATGGTGAATGATGTCTAAAAGAAAATATATTACTTGAATCAATGCAATGTTTCCACATAACTTAGCTACCGTTATAAGAATGATCTCACATCTCTATTCGTATTGTAACATGGCTAAATGATGCGATCCATATAGATATAGACTAAATCAAAAATGCCGCTCAATTTAAGCGGATTGTTGCGATGTATGTCTTTCGGTGTAATTTTATCGTATCTTTACAAAAACAGTACAGAGTGTTGTTCCGAAATTTGATCTAGATATTGCATTTGTCTGAAAACCGTAATGACTGTATTTTAACTCACAAAGAAAATTTATAACAGTGGTATAACAAAAAGCTAGATAGGTAGTTACATTTACACAAAGAAATCTGTTTTCTTTTTAACTTTTTTCCTCTAAAATGTTTTAAATTTAGTGATAAAGATAATTTATAACTCACTCCAGTATACAGGAGCATGATATCATTTTCGGCTGTGTTGGAGTTGTAAGCATTGTGTACCAATTTGCTTGTAACCGATTTTGTTACTCCACCACCGTCACGGGTTGTGGTTCCAGCAGTTACACTCCATGCATAGAGGCTCCTGAAAAAAAATCATCGATGAATTGAAATTTACATTATCGAACCAGGTTACAAATAGCAAATGAAGATGTTTTGTTGAAAGATTCATATGGATTTGAAACAACATTAATATTTGGCGTCTCTTGTTATTTCCGTATAATATTTCATTCTTACTGATCGCAGTGAGCAGCTGAGAGGATCTTGTTGGGTCCAATTAATGTGCCGCCACAGAAGAATAAACCGCTCTTTTCTTGGAAGACAATTGACGGAAACTGGCCATTAGAGGCAGAAGTACCACCAATAATCTTGTCGGCGTTGGTGCCTAAACGAATGAAAGGGACTAAAAATAAGCAGTGCGTTCCATTGATTTAAACAAAAACAAAAATAGAATTAAGAATACCACGAATGGTATTGTAGGCGTTAGCATATGAAGATAAATATAATACTAATAAATATGCAAAAGTCTGTTAATTTTTCCTGCATTATTTTACTTACCACAAAGGCAGAGAACGGCGATGAAGAAAAGTTTCATTCTTATTGACCTGTTGTCGTTGTACGATTTTAAAGAACTGATAATTAGGATTAAATTAAAACCCTTTTATACTTTTCAGGAGGCTAGACGGCACGTCGGGAGTTAAACATTAGAGATGTATTTTAGGCACCGTATTGGCTATTTACAGAAATTAGGTCGTTATCAATGCTTTGTTGTTTGACATAATTGACTTTCATCTGTTGAATTCCCATGGCTTGCATTCGAGATGTGGCATATCATGATATTCTTTCAACATGGTTGTATATTAAATATATAAAATATATAGGATACAAAAAGTTGATATCGGTCGCAAACTCGAGCTAAACGCAGTTTTCTATATTAAAACGTAGATACCAATTTCAAATTGTTTTCATAATTTTCAACCTTCCTTCGTTTGCCCTCTATAATCGATTCATCAGAGTTTTAGAGTCTGTCTTTTAATATCGAGTTCTATTTGCCTCGCCGTATAATTAATGTATGACCAAATGAAAAAGAATTATTGGACACGAAATGGACCTACGGATCGTTTTTGTTGTAGATTTCTTGTTCTCGTTGTTGCCGTATGAAAAAAATCTTTTTATTCATTAAATAATGGACCAATTTCTTCCAAATTTCGATTGGTCAAAGGTTGTATTTTTCGTCAGGAGGCTATTACGAGAGTGTAACCAGCCCAAAATTTTGGGGCCGTTTTTTTTGTATAATGACGTAATACGACGCTCACTGGTGCCTTTTGCTTCGAACAAGCCAGATAATAGTAGCCACTGATATATATCTAACAATATCTTGAAAAATCGCTCTACAGACGTACTTCTCTGTCGAAGTTATCCAGGTCATATAAGCGCGCATTTTCATCTATCTCGTTTGGTTCGTTTGTTGAAAGGATTATTGATAGAAAGCCCGGAAACGTCCGGTTTTCAGTAAATCGTTCAAGAATAGAGCAAAATGGTGCTGAAAAGGGCGTATGAATTTATGTCCTACTGCAAATGCTCTAAAGTTGCATTAAAGTATTTTTTTGTATAGTTGGGTATGACCACCCCAGATCCCCCTGGACTATTACAGTAACTTTATTTATTTCAAAAAATTCTGGACCTATGAGTTTCGTGTTTTGTGTGCGATGACGTCATCAAAACTCAATATTGTGCCACTTGTGGCGGTGATCTACTGTGACAGATTGCACACCCGTGCTACGTTGTACTGGTCTTCATGTTGTTTATACTAGCCGTGATAGCAAAGTGGTCAGCTCAACTCAGAGTATTGAACATAAATATGTTAGCGTCATAGGTGAAAAAAATTAAACCCAATCTGCATGTTCACCAGTCGATCACCCATCCAGACAGTAATTGAAATTGAAAGACAACATAGAAGGTTTACGGTACATTCGAATATTGATGACACATTGAGCATCAGTGGATGATTGTCTAACTAAAGCTTGTTTGAAGGGGAGTTGTGAAAACAGCCCATACAAAGATCAAAATACGAAAACGAAATTTGACAAATGCTGCAGTTGTCACAATATAATAATGAAAGAACGACTGGTACACATTTTGTATCGCTATGGTGATGTCATAATGGAACCTATAAGGCATTTGTCACTTTTGGAGATAGTATAGTTTGCTACCACAAGTATTTCTAGTGGGTGTAGTAGAGCATTTTTTGCATATGTTATTCCTAACCCCCGCCTGGCTACGTCATCCAAAATTTACGACACTGCGACGTCACAAACACGTCATAGAGCTTTCCGAAGTGTAGCTGCGATCGCTCGAAATGGCGTCTACCGACGATAACGAACTCACTATCTCTCTCGTTTCGGGATCGTTACGGCGAGAAGACGAGAGAAATAACTTGCTCGATTTAGAATTTTAGAGGGATCGTCTGCGCGTTTTGAGCAACGGCCGTATATTTTAACGGGTCTTATTACGTCACTCTGACGTCGTAGTGACGTAATTTTTGGATGTCTTTGTCAGATGGGGATTAGAGATAAGTAACATAATATGCAAAAATGGCTGAGCCACGCCTTCGGGAAGTGTATGTGGTACTAAACTATACTGGACCCGAATTGGCTAGGTCAGAGAGTGAAAAGGACCAAGACCGTATTGTCGAGCATGGTCCTCAGGGTTTCAGATTGCGTAATTTAATACTGATGACTAGTGCTATAAGAACCTATGCCATACCTTGACGACTCGTAGTGCAACGTTCATACCTGACTAAAAGAGACCAAATCGAATAATGTTTGAAATTGAAATCGAACTCGTCTCAAATTATATCCGAGTCAATTACTTTGCTGTCTAACCCACCATGCCTGATGTACATTCGAGTCCTTTTGTTACCACATTATTTAATGATTCAAATTACATTCAACAAAATTCACGCAATTATTGATTCCACGTAGGTTCAGCTACTTGACTTCTAGTTGTTGTTGATCCAGGATCTGTAGTGTGCAACATCGGTGTAGACACCAGGTTGATTGGCCTGAGCGCATCCATAGCCCCATGAGGTGATTCCAGCAATGGTTGTTGTACCTTGAATGTAGGCAGGTCCACCGGAATCACCCTACAGCATACACAATTGGTTCAAAAATATTTCACCTTATAAATGTTTTAGCGGAACTGAATTAATCGCTAGAACTTCCTCGGCAACCACTTCGGCTATCATTGATATACTGTATTTTAAAAATATGGCACACTCGTTCAAACGGCAACAAAATATGAGACGTCACCCCATAGATTGCTGACTTTTAAACTGTAGAAATATTCGTTATTAACTACCTGACAGGAGTCTTCTCCGCCACTCATATTTCCCATGCAAATCATTCCGCTTGTAACGGCACCATTGTATGCATTCCAGGCATTGCAAGTACTTGTAGAAATGACCGCCACATTCACATATTCCAGCTGATTCGGAAGACTTGAAACTGCACAAAATAGCGGTAAGCTTAATTCAAATGATAGGGTATGTATGACAGATTATAACGCTAAAGACTTACTGATGCCAGAATTGGTATCTCCCCATCCAGCAACAGTAATGCCAGTTCCAGCAGAGGGTGCCGTAAATACTAATGATGCTGTATTAATGTTTGTACCCAAGCTGAAAGATGTCTGAAAAAATACTTGAATCAATACAATATTGGAATATAACCCTGTGGTAACAATGATTGTACACAAAACTCTACCTAAGTTATAACATGCCAATACTGTATGCAAGTCATTCAGCCTAAGCAAAAATGCATTCAAAGCAGATTTTACCTATGTACGTCTTTTCAGTCAAATTATTCAATAGTATTTTCCAGAAATCTTATAAAGATATTATGCAGATACCAATATTTGTGGGAAATTATGATGACTGTATTTTAAGACTGTAAATTTATTGCAAATCGAAGGTAGTATAACTGCATCTTCAATAAAAATCATCTAGGCTTCTCCGTTTGCGGTAAATTAGTAATTTGGAAAAATACAGGCTTGTGAATAGGGGCAATAATTTACTAAATGATTTAAATTAGATGACGAAGATATTGCATAACTCACTGAGGTGTACAGGAGCATGATATCATTTTGTAATGTGTTGGAGTTGTAACCAGTGTGTACCACTTTCCTTGCCACGGGTTTAGTTACTCCACCACTGCTACGATATGCGGTTCCAGCAGTTACAGTCAATCCAACTAAGTTTCTGAAAAAATACCATCGAAAAATTTACATTATCGAACTAGGATATAAATAGAAAATGAAAATGTTTTGTACTTAGAAGATTTACTCGTATATATGAAATTAAAACAACATTAATATATATGTGACATTTACTGCTATGATATATTATTCTTACTGTTCGCAGTGAGCAGCTGATAGGACTTTGTCATATCCAATTAGTGTGCCACCGCAGAAGAACGAACCGCTCTTTTCTTGGAAGACGATTGACGGGAACTGGCCGGTTGAACCAGCGGTACCGCCAATAATCTTGTCGGCGTTGGTGCCTGAACAAATGTAAAGCACTAAAAATATGCAGTTCGTTTTTTTGATTTGAACAAAAACAAAAATAGAGGCAGGAGTATATCACCGATGAGTTTGTACGCGTTGGCATCGGTAGATAAATATAATATTGATAAATATTCATTCGCTTAAATAAAAATACCGAGCTAACTGCAAAGTTTTCGTCATTTTTCCTACATTATATTACTTACCGCAAAGGCAGAGAACGGCAATGAGGAAAAGTTTCATTCTTGTTGACTCGTTGGACGATATTGAAGAACTGATAATTATGATTCAATTCAACCCCTTTTTATACTTTTTAGGAGGCTAGACGGCACGTCGGGAGGTAAACATCAGAGATGTATTTTGGGCACCTAATTAGCTATTTACAGGAATTATGTCGTTATCAATGCTTTGTCGGAGTTGTTTGACGTGACCTTCATCTGTTGAATTCCCATGATTTTGCATTCGAGATGTGGCATATCATTATTATTTTAGAGTACAGTAAATTTAATAAGACAAGGATAGAAAAAGTTGGTGTCGGTCACCTCCTCGGGCTACAAGCTGTTTTCTGTTTAAAAATATATAGCCCTATTCCTAATTGTTTTCATTATTTTCGAACCTTCCATCGTCAACCCTCTATAATTCAATAACCAAAAAGGCAGAAAAAATAGGACCTGTTTTTGGTAATAATATTTATGTGTTACGACTCACTAGCGTAAATGAAAAATTGTTCGAATTTGATAGATTTACTTATTTCAGTAGTTCATTTTACACTTAACTGACGTGTCTTTCATTACAAAATACTACAATAATCACTAAAATGAAGTCAATTTTTTTCTCATTCAAGATAGGTGTACAAAATAATCACTAACGAAATTAAAATGTTCTGCAAACGTTTATAACTGAAACCACCAAAATGTTAATACCCCCAAAAAGGCTTTGTACAAAACGATTATCGAGATATTCGTTTCACGCTTTCTTTTTTAAACCAGCAGGGTCTGAGTAATGTAAGCTACATAGTTACATGTGTGGAATATTAATCGACAAGTTTTCTTTGGAGGTAGCTCTGTTCAAACAAACACTGGAAAATATTGTATTGTTCAAAGCAAGTTAGTAAGTAATGAATCTTTTTCTGTGTGCAAGAAAGCTATCATGCTGTATCTGTCATGTAAGTAAAGTACCACGGATCAATAATAATGAAATGGAAAAAAATTTGCTTTGAGGTGAACTAAGGGACACAACCGCGACGCGAATGACGATGTATTTTTGTCTCTATGATGATTATTCATTAGGGTTAGCTTCTAACTGCGTTCGATATATACTCTTTTATACGTAAGTGAACTAGAATCTGTGAAATTCCCATGACTTTGCAAACAGTGGAATATTTTTATTTATTCTATCCAAGTATAACAAACTTATGATAACGTTGGGGCAGAGGTATTGAGAAATTGTCTTGCGGGATTACAGACAGGTTTTTATAGTTTTAATATTAGATATAAATATAAATTGACATTTGAACATCACTGATATTGCTAAAATCATTTGGTCTCGGGTTTCTAATTTAAATGCTGTGGTAAGTCTTCCTAAACTCAACAAAAACTGAAGTAATGCATTTCATTTATTTGTAATACTAATATTACCACAATGAAAAATACGATTCTACGCTTTAAAATAGTTGGAAGGAGTCAGAAAGGAAATGGATATATATATGGCCTCATCCCTAAGTCTTCTTATGAGAGAGGCTATATAGGTCTGATTTTTAGGGAACCTCCGCGAGATGCGTACGACCAATCAAACCTCACTGACGTTTCTGTCATAATCAAAATACTTTAATAACCCATCCAAATATATGCCATGTATTCATTAGGACAAATTGCAAACATATCACTAAAAAATACAATAATCTGATAAAGATAGTAATACTACGACATAAAAATACCGGAAGTGGGTAACGAACAAATCGACGGCGGTCAAATTTTATATATGAAACTCGGAAATAGAAGGTTGAAAACAGAGATAATTTTAAAAATACTCAGCGCCGTTTAGCACTACTTAAAATTATTGGAGTGTCTATTCCAAATTTGATTTAGATTCAGTTACCCTACTTACGTGTATGGGATGTTCATTTGCAAGTTTGAAATATCTGAGAATTCCCTATTTAGGAAAACAATATAGTGGTTTATATTCACACATTCTCTTTGAACTCGGTTATCATTGATATACCATAAAATTGTTAAGGGGGCATTCAAAAATTTAAAAATGTTACTTAGAAATGCTTAGAATAAATAGTATGAATCAAAATCTACTATATGAGGAAATTTGCAGTTGCCTGTATAGAGCATAATTCTGAAATTCATAATTCTGTTTTTGGTTGTTCCTTTGCCAAGCCTGATTCCGAGAAAACACGCTTTACTTTTGCGTAGTTGTTTGAGCAGAGCCATATTCATAGTGAATTGCGAATGAACAGCGACATAACATGATGCGGCAGCTGTCAGTATATATTTTACAAGAACAGACGTATACGTAAAGAACTTACGCAATTTCGTTGTGTGAAAACAAGCTTTCCCGCAAGAATATTAGAGAAAGCACCAACTATTCTTCGGTGTTATTTAAATTGCAAAAGCTTCCTTATATCAACGTTAAATCAATTCTTCATATTGCTCTCTCGTGATTTACCCTCAGTAAACTAGTGTTTTAGATAGAGAAAAAATCAGATATTGCGCTTTTATATTTTCAAATGTCTATAGTTGAGATTTTTGACCATGACCATACGAATCACATAGTTGAAATTTCGAGACAATTTGATTTTGAGGTAATAAAAATCACAAACATTCATTCATGCAGTGGTGTAGATGTGATGATGGAAAATTTAGGTGTACATGATTGATTTGATGTCATTACATTAATTGATAAAATTGTCACCGATTATTCGACGTTTAAGATTTACAGACAATATATAAATAATATAAACCTAAAACCGCGACATCTTCATCCAGCGAATCCAAGCAACAAACATCACATTCTGCCTTGAATAGCAAACGGGGAATGCAATCACCATCTCCACCTGAAGATCCTCGTCACGACACCAACGATCTAAACGTATTGAAGACCAGCAAAGAAGATCGAGACTTCAACATCTTGAAATTCATGGCATACCCTACAAAAAAGAAGAAGATACCGATCAATTAGTAGTAGAGATGTCGAAACTCCTCAATTTCGAAATAGATAAAGGAGATATTTCAGCATCACACCAAAAAACTTACAAGCCAGATAAAATAAAATTTGCTCCGATAGTTGTTCGATTCCTCAGTCGAAGAATAAGAAATGAAATGCTAAATCATAGATCCAATCTATCTTCCGCTGCTAACACTACATCTATCCCCGACATATCAAAATTGTTTATTGCTTAGAATCGGTCGGATCAAAATCCTGACTTATATTTCAAGGCTCGTACTCTGAAAAAGAAATATGGATATAACTATCTCTGGACTCATAACGGACGAACATTATCAAGAAAAACGGCAAAGCCAAAACTCTTCCAATCATGGTTGAAGAAGACTTGGAAAAAATAAAGTAAGCTAATAACTACACCTATCAAAAACTTTCAACTTTTTTTCGGATTTTAGATGTGTGACCAGTTTTTATCCTTCGACTTTATTCCCATTCTCCCATTCCAAAATGCATCAAATTTTGACTTTAACAATCCAACAACTTCACCCAATTTCCACAATCTATTCGAAGATCTACTCGATAATCCATGCAAAATTATCGGCACTGAAAACCTCAGTCAACTATCTCCAGATAAAGACGAACTATTTATTATTCATATAAATGCACGTAGCATTCAAAAATATACAGACAATTTGGTTGAATTTTTATCCCATTGCTCAAGTTCTCCCCATATTATAGGCATCATGGTTGCATTGTGATACACTTATCGTTAATATATATATTCCATCATACAATTTCACTCATATTTCATCAACATCAAGAGCCGGTGGTGTTGGGGCGTATATAAGAAATGATGTCTCATATAACATTCGACCTGGTTTATGCTCTATAGACCTTATAGTAGGCCTATCCCTGATGTCGAAAACCTATGGCTAGAAATCAACAATAGATCCCAGGGCTCCCAACAAATGAACTACTTGATAGTAGGGTTTATTTATCGACACCCCCGAACCTATACCTTAGCATTTTCTGCAGCTCTTGAAACTGTTCTTGACAATCTAGTATCAACTAAAAGAACTTTCTTAATTGCTGGGGACATCAATATCAACCTGTTAAATATAAAAAAAAAACTCAAACTTAGCTATACCTTTGATCACTGTTACAACTAGAGTAACCCTTTCATCAAGTACCCTAATTGACCGTATATACTCTAATAAAATCGATCCGATTCCCTAAGCATTTGTCGTTACCACAGATATAACTGATCATTACCCTAATCGATTTTTTACTAATCGATTTTAATCGGTAAGTATGTTGATAGGTATTTGTCTGTTTGTCTGTCTGTTAGATGCACGCGATATCTCACGAAAGCGAGATTGGATCTGCTGCAGATTTTGCATGTGCATTCATCATATCTCGTACCAGAAGCCTATTGATTTTGGGCGAATTATGTCGTATAATTAGCGAGTTATCAAATAAATAGATGGGAAACAAGGTTTCACTATGGAGTAAGAGCGCTGTTTTGGGGATCCCCTAACTTTCGATCATCTTCGAAGTCTTCGGTCTCTGATCGATATTCTCGTTTGCTTTGTTAAGCATCATAACTGATTTATATTAAAAACCAGTATTATACAGCGTGGTCCCCAAAAAACGAAACCATCAATTTCTCAATTACTTTTACGAAAATGGAGCGAATTATTCAATTTTGTCTACACTTGAACTTATGTTTGGGTATGTTTGTACCTCAAATCCAGGATGTTTCGAACAAACGTTATGTTGTTGCTAGAATATGTTCCAAATGCTCTCCTCGTCATCGAAGAAAGAATTACCTACTTTTTGCAACATTGTCAATCACTCTTCTCTGGGTATTTCTCTATTTTATTTCTGCAATTGCAGCCTTGAGTTACCCAATCGTTTATGGATTGTCTTTCGAACACCCTACATATCAAAACCTGAGAGATTTCAGTCCGATAATTAAGGAGCCTACTGAATGTCATTGCTGACTTTTCTCTCAGGACAGCAAGCGTCTGATTTGATGTATGGGTGGTCATGCTGGAACCATCGCTGGTCATCTCTATCAATCCTTCCCACGTATTGTTCTGTATTCACACCGTTTGAACCCTTTCATTTCCATGTCCTGGCAGCAGAAGGTGCGCTTCAGCAGAAAACTAAGTGAGTGGTTGAAAATTTTGCAAAACTTCTGTATAGTTATAGGCAAACAGAAGTTCAAGTTCAAAATTAAATGATTTTTTTGGAAATAGTTATGAAATTTTGGGTTTCCGTTTCTAAATAACCCGAACGAACATGCACCATAACCATTGAGTTTATACTTTCAAACCCATGTTCAGTCTTTCATTTTTCTATTTTTTGGCAACAGAATCAAATTGAGATATCCTCACGTGTGAGATCGGGTCGAAATTTTTTTATTGCCCGTGACAGCTCATTCTTGGTAGAGCGTGCAGTGACCGTACTTTTACATATCAAGAGAGATTCCTTTGACAATGCCAGACAAGACTAAAGACTGTTTTTGACTGAAATGGAGCCAGGTATTTCACTATGCTCAAACCTTCACATTATACTAATGTTA